TTGCCTCCTTGTTTGAAGCCTTTTAAGATCCCTTTCAAGAGGGGCCAGCAGAAGCCAGCTGGGCCAAGTCCTTAGATTAGTTCTCACTTTCTGTATCTCCTTCCCTGAACGCACCTGGCAGCGGTCCGAGGGCTTTGCATTGCACTTTCAGGAAGAGTCGGCATCAGAGGACTTGCACCTGAACCCCATCCCCAATCATCTACTTAAGGGTGATGGGCTTCCCCGTGCAGCCCCCGCCCTTCCCACATAGCCCGCATTGCTGGCAGGCCGGCCCATTTTGCATGGCTGAGGGATGAGGTTGGTGTACAATCTCCAGGGGGCTGCTTTTTCTTATCAGGCTTTTAAGGAAGCCAGAAAGAAGTAGGGTCTTACCTAAACTTTTCACTTCTTTGGGGAATTGGAAGGAATGAGATAGGGTGGAGGGTTGAACTGGGTGGGACTGGGAAGAGGAGGTAGGGTGGGACGAGGTAGGGTGGGAAAGGGTGGGATTTGTCCAAGAGGAAGTGTGGCATATCTGGACACTGTTGGAAGAATCTGGACAGTGCTGCATGAATTCAGGCAAGTCAATTTTATCTTTCAGGACCTCATTTTTTAAAAAAAAATCTATAAAATGACTAGGTTGGTCTCAAAGCAAGGTCCTTCAGAACCTGAGAATTGGGGGGATGTGTTGGAACTATAGTGATTAGGACGGGAGTTCTGGAATCAGACTGCTTACGTTTTGTAGCTTTTGATAGTGGATGGTCTTGGAAAAATTACTTAATTTGACTCCCTGAGACTCCTTTTTTCCCCTCTCCCTCTGAGTTCTGCCTTCTAGGAAAAGTGATATGCGAATGGGGCAGGGTTGATAGTTATGATGGAGGGAAGGTGAGACCCCACATCAACAAAATTACCTCCCCAAACCCAGAAATTCAAATGTTCACCCCCACAAAAGTCCACAGAAATTTGTAATCACCGATGGAATATCATTCTCTGCTCAGGAAGCAGGCTCTCCTTGATTGGAAGAGCAGGAAAAATCACCTACACAATTTAAATTAATTGTTCCCGCCTTTTTTTTTTTTTTGAAATTTAGGTTGAATTACCTAAATTAAATGCATATAGTGAGCAGACAGTAAATGGTGGCTATTTTCCTAATTTTATTTGCACAGTGTCTGGCAGAGCAGTCATTTATATGTAGTGGTATAATGGTGTTCATCAAGTGACATCATGCAGAAAAACAGAAAAACCACAATCTTGTTTGTTGGGATGATTGTCTGCCAGAGTGATAAAGTTCTTCTATGTGCAGTTTGTTCTCAGAGTTCAATTTTTTTTTTTAATTGCATATGTATTCTTTTTACTAAGGACTGAAGTTCATCTCTCGAGTCCAAACAAAAATAATAGATTTTTAAAAGTAACTATAAAGTGCATAGAAGATGGATAGATGAAAAACCCAAATACAGATTAAATAATATCTGATGAGCCCTATACCAATTGATATTTGGCGAGAGGTTATAAGACTTGCTATTAAACAGTTTTTTAAAACAGCGTTAGAGATCAAACCCAGGGCCTTGTGCATGCTACCACTGAGTTATACACATTTAAAACATCTCTGTAGCCTAGAAATTTTTCCAAAGGTGATTCTGATTACCAAAGTTTAAAAGGTTTTCCTTCTCTATGATTATCAAGTAAAATTTTGGTAGATGTTTCTTTGGTGCTTTAAGATTATTTTTTACTGAATCATAATTTACATTCAAACACATCACACACCCCTCATTTTTTGGGGGCGGTACTGGGGAATGAAGCCAGAGATGCTCTACCGTTGAGCTACATCCCAGCCCTTTTTAATTTTGAGACAGGTCTCACTAAATTGACCACACTGGCCTTGAACTTGCCATCTTCCTGCCTCAGACTCCTGGCTACCTGGGATTACAGGCATGTGCCACCTCTCTTGACCCTCAAATAACATCCCTTTTAAGTGAACAGTTTGAGCCAAAAAAATGTGTATACCTAAACAATATAAATTTAAGGCTAATTAGAGCATGAACTCTGAGAAAAAAGATCTGAGAAATCAGAAAGGATAATGGATAATGGTTCCCCCCCACACCCTTTTTTTTCCCCCTTTTTTTGATACTGGGAATTGAAACCAGGGCCTTATATATGCTACACCAGCAGCTCTAGCACAAAGCTGCATCCCCAATCCTTTATTTCTTTTTGTTGTTGTTGCACTTGTACAAGGCCCTAAGTAATTTAGGGAGACCCTGTCTCAAAAAATAAAAAGGGCCGGGTGTGGTGGCACATGCCTGTAATCCCAGCAGCTTGGGAGGCTGAGACAGGAGGATCTAGAGTTCAAAGCCAACCTCAGCAAAGGTGAGGTGCTAAGCAACTCTGTGAGACCCTGTTTCCCTTTACAAAAAACAAAAACAAAAACAAACAAACAAAAAAAACAAGGTTACCACTCTGCTTCGTTTGCATTTGAACACTGAAATTAGGATTAGTTTGCATTGAAAAGGGGGTTGGTGGTTTAAATAGAAGATGAATCCCAGGTCCTAAGGAGCATCTAATTTCAGCTACTGGCCACCTCACTAACTTGTGGGTTCACAACAAATTAGACTGTCTTCAAGTGCCTCAGTTTGTCTACCTGTGAATTGGGGATAATTGTACTATCTGCTTTAAAGTCCTGCTGTCAAGGTTAGAACATTGCATGGCAAATAATGCATATTTAATAAATCCTAGTTATGAGATTATGATCTGCACTATGGGTAGACTTGCAGCCCTTTTGAAAAGACTGCCTTTGTTCTAGGGCAGCAATTCTCAAAACTTGATCTCCTGATTTTAAGCACACACCACCATGTGTGCTTAAAATCTGAGGACTCCCCAGGCACCATGGCACACACCTGTAGCTCAGCTGCTCAGGAAGCTGAGGGAGAAGGATCACAAGATCAAAGTCAGCCTTAGCAACTTAGCAAAATTGTATCTGAGGCTGGGGATGGGGATGTGGATGTGGCTCAGTGGTTAAGTGCCCCTGGGTTCAATCCCTGGTACCCCCCTTCCCTCCTAGAAAAACAACAAAACTTTTCCAGGCTGGAAAACTAAAGTAGTAGAATTCATTATTTTACATTTTTTTCAAATAGCTGTAATATCTGGTTTAATAGAACATAAATAGATTCTTGTATATGTCTGTATAATTGGTTTATTTATTTTTTTACTTTCTTTTGTTTGTTTATATGTGGTGCTGAGGATGGAACCCAGGGCCTCGAATGTGCTAGGCGAGCGCTGTACCGCTGAGCCACAACCCCAGCCCTTAATTGGTTTATTTTGATACCTTGTTTTGGTAGAAGTAAATGAAGAAAACACAACTTTACTCAGATTTGTAGATGGAAAAAGAAAGCATTTTTTTTTTTCCTTTTTTCTTTGATTGTCTGAAGTTCCTATAACCTTGCTCTGGATAGGGTGGGGCAAGGCCTCAATCCATTTCAAAGCTGTACAGGCAAGCACTGTAGGAATGCGACAGGGTCACTGCAGACCCAAGCATGCCGGAGGCTTGCTAAGGAAGCATACTTTGATAGCTTTTTCAGTGGATTTTTAAAAACACACCAAAACTCAAAGTGCATGACTTTTTGTTTTGAACTATGGATTTAACCTAGGGGCACTTCACCACTGAATGACATCCTAGTCATTTTTATTGTTGTTGCTATTATTTTTTGGTGGGGGGATACCAAGGATTGAACTCGGGCACTCTACCACTGAACTATATCCCCTAGCCCTCTTTTGTATTTTATTTAGAGACAGGATCTCACTGAGTTGTCTAGTGCCTCGCAGTTGCTGAGGCTGGCTTTGAACTCTTGATCCTCCTGCCTCAGCCTCCTGAGTCACTGGGATTACAGGTGTGTGCCACTGTGCCCAGCTCAATTTTATTATTTTGAGACAGGGTCTCATTAAGTTGTTGAGGCTGGCCTCAAACTTGCAGTCCTCCTGCCTCAGCTTCCAGAGTTGCTGGGAATATAGGCGTGTGCCACTGTGCCTAGCTAAAACCAATAATCTTCACTGCTTCATTAAGGATGTTCCTAAGTGAAACTAGTCTTTACATTTTTTTCTTTTTTCTTAAATGAGTGCATGATGAAGAACAATGACGGGCATTACTTTGATTCATGATAACCCAATTTTATACAAATGATAGTATAGCAAAAAGGCAAATAATACCTTAGTGTTAAATTTATAGCTTAGTAACATTATGAAGATAGTTTAATTTGCAGACCCTCTGATATAGTCTCAGAATGCTGAGGGTCATGAGAGCATACTTTGAGAATCGCTGTTCTAGGAAAAGGCAGACCAATTTTGATGATATGTGATTGCAAGTCTTTACCAAGTTTAGCAGTACCACTTTTATTTCTGTATTATAGCCACAGCCCTGTATAATACATATTATACTATATAACAATATATTATAGCTACTTTTCACTGTGCCATGCACTGTTCTTAAGATGACTGTATATATAAATCTGTATTTCCATTCATTACTTTCATTATTTCAATTATGCACATAACAACTTTATAAGATAGGGCTGGGGTTGTGGCTCAGTGGTAGAGTGCTCGCCTAGGATGTGCAAGGCCCTAGGTTCGATCCCCAACACCACATAAAAATAAGTAAATAAAATCAAGGTATTGCGTCCAGCTACAACTAAAAAATAAAATTAAAAAAAAAAACAACCCAATTTTATCAGATAAATTATGTATTATCCCCATTTTGCAGAAAAGGAAGCAGAAGCATAGGATGTTATGTGGCTTGCCTAAGGTGGCCAAGCTAACATCAGAGCCAAGATTCAAAGCCAAGTTCCAGGGACCATGCTCTTCCTCAGTACCAGTGAGTGCCCAAGGAGGCAGGTAGCTGTTACCTGCTGTGGGGAAATGAGAGCAGATGGACACCAGCTGCAGGGGAAAAGTACAGGAGTGGATGAGGTACCATTGCCAGGTGTCATGTGGGTACTTTTTCCTAACCTCTTCCCTCTGTCCTTTGCCCTGTCAGGATGACTTCTCGGGACCAGCTGGTGCAGCAGGTACTGGGGGAGCTGCAGGAGGCAGTGGAGTCCGAGGGCCTGGAGGGTCTGGTTAGTGCCGCCCTGGAGGCCAAGCAGGTGCTATCGTCCTTCACCCTCCCCACCTGCCGGAAAGAGGGCACTGGTCTCCAGGTGTTGGAGGTGGACTCGGTGGCCCTGAGCCTGTACCCAGAGGATGCTCCACAGAATATGCTGCCACTGGTGTGCAAGGGCGAGGGCAGCCTGCTGTTCGAGGCGGCCAGCATGCTGCTGTGGGGCGACGCTGGCCTCAGCTTGGAGCTGCGGGCTCGCACGGTGGTGGAGATGCTGCTGCACCGACACTATTATCTCCAGGGCATGATCGACTCCAAGGTGATGCTGCAGGCCGTGCGCTACTCCCTGTGCTCCGAGGAGTCCCCCGAGATGACCAGCCTGCCATCTGCCACGCTGGAAGCCATCTTTGATGCGGACGTCAAGGCCACCTGCTTCCCGAATAGCTTCTGCAATGTGTGGCACCTGTACGCCCTCGCCTCCGTCCTTCAGCGCAACATATATTCCATCTACCCCATGCGCAACCTCAAGATCCGGCCCTACTTTAACCGCGTCATCCGACCCCGTCGCTGCGACAACATGCCCTCCACACTGCACATCATGTGGGCTGGCCAGCCTCTCACCAGGCACCTCTTCCGCCACCAGTACTTTGCCCCTGTGGTAGGACTGGAGGAGGTGGAGGCTGATGGTTCTCTGGGGCTAGCCTCCACTCCTCCAGCCCAGGCCACACTGCCACCACCCGCCACACTGCCACCACCCGCCACCCCCGCCAAGACCCTTGAGCTGCTTAACCGGGACCCCGGCCTCAGTTACTCCCACCTCTGCGATCGCTATAGCATTACTAAGAGCACCTTCTACCGCTGGCGGCGGCAGTCCCAGGAGCATCGGCGGAAGGTGGCCACCCGCTTCTCCGCCAAGCACTTCCTGCAGGACAGCTTCCACCGTGGGGGCCTCGTGCCACTGCAGCAGTTCCTCCAGCGGTTCCCTGAGATCTCCCGCTCCACCTATTATGCCTGGAAGCACGAGCTGCTGGGCTCTGCCTCTTGTTCAACCCTAGCCCCGGCCCCAAAGGAGGTGCTGGCCATGGAGAAGCTGCCAGGGCAGAGGGCTGCCGAGGGCCCGGGGCACTCCCCACTGATGGTGGCAAGCCCTGGAATGGTCGTAATGCAGCGGGCCAAGTTGTACCTGGAGCATTGCATCTCCCTGAACACCCTGGTACCCTATCGCTGCTTCAAACGCAGGTTCCCTGGCATCTCAAGGTCCACTTACTACAACTGGCGGCGAAAGGCCCTCCGGAGGAACCCCAGCTTCAAGCCAGCCCCGTCCCTCCCAGCTGCAGGAACTCCCCAACTAGTATCTGGTGGGGAAGGGGCCCTGCTCCCTTGGAAGGATGAGGTGGGGGAGGGGACAGGGAAAGCAACAGGTGAGAAGCTCCCCCGACCCCGGGAGCTCCTGCCCCAGAGAATGCACCTGTCCCGCTGGCAGAGACACCTGCGCAGGGCCGCCTGCAAGCAGGTGCTGAGTGGGCATCTACCCTTCTGTCGCTTTCGTCTTCGCTACCCTAGCCTGTCACCTTCCTTCTTTTGGGTCTGGAAGAGTCTTGCCAGGGACCGGGGCCGGCCTGGAGGCCTGTCCAAATATCGGAGGCGGGCCTCTTCCTTGGGCAGAGAGGGCCAGGAAGGGGAGGAGAAACAGAAGGAAGCTGGCAGGAATGTGACAACTGTAGTGACCCCACCTGTGGGCACCCTGCCATTGGGTGCTTCTTCAGGAAAGGATCCAGAGGAGGCCCAGGGAGGGCCTTCCAAAGAGGAGGCCCCGAGAGAGGGAGCCACAGCTCAGAGTGAGCCCCACAGTGGGTCCCTGTCAAGCCAACCTGTGGTGTCAGTGGCAGGTGGCAAGGATGGCCAGGTGCTGGTGATGGACATGCTCACTACCACAAAGTTCAAGGCCCAGGCCAAGTTATTCTTGCAGAAGCGATTCCAGTCCAAGAGCTTCCCCTCTTACAAGGAGTTCAGTGCCCTTTTCCCCCTCACTGCCCGCTCCACCTACTACATGTGGAAGCGAGCACTCTATGAAGGCCTCACCCTGATTGATGGCTGATGGGAGTACAGAGGGGCTGCGGAGGAAGAGGGACCAGTTTGGAGAGGGTCAAGGAAGCTGAGATGACCCCTGGCTTGGCCAGGATGCCTTTGCTCTGGCTCCCACAGTGTCTATCCTAACTCTAAGAGCATATTTGCGTTATTTTCTGGCTTAAGGGCAGAGAACCAGAAATCGGCCATCTGGTCCCTTGTAGAAAGCTGTAGGAGCACAGATGTTCTTTTTTGCTTGTTTGCTGGTCATATTTGTATTGTTGTGTTTTTGTTTTGATTTAAGTGGGTTGGCCAGGCCCCCTTGCCAGCATTGGAAGCTTTAAAGCTATATTTTTGGGGTGTATAGAGAGGTAGCTAAAGCTGTTTTCAGCTTTTCCTGGGGGCAAGAGGAGTATGATAGCATGGCCATCTGTCCCCAGTGGGCAGAATATATGCCTTCAGTTTCTTTGGGGGGTGGGACCCTCTTTACTCAAAGATGTTTTCTAAAATAATATTAGAATTGAATCTGGGACAAGCTTCTGCCTCATATCCCCAGTGGAGAAGGTGCCAGGCTCAACATGAGCAGCAGCAGGAACGCACAGGAGGAGTCATGGATGACCTCTAAGCCAAGGCCCTGAGGCAATAAGGCCACTGAGGTGCAGCCTGTCCCAAGCAGAGTGTGGAAAGGGGTGGGAGGAAGGTCTGATTCTTCTGCTGGGGACCCCCAGCCTCTGTCAGCCTGGCTGCTGTTGGGGATCCTGCCTTTCTGCTGAGCCTCCTCTCAGAGCCATCTTCTCAGAGCCATCTTCAATGAGGGTCAGCAAGGGGGCCAGGCAGGTGGAAGACTGAATTTTTATTATTAAATAGTGAAGTTGGAAAACCAAAGAAATAAAGTGATGTGGTACCCACAGCCCTTGGTCAGTCTTATTTGTTCTGCTAGGATGTGACTGCCTATTCCCATTTTCCTCTTTGGTTTATGGGGATGGAGAGTGACCATTTTCTCTTGATGGGACATGTTCAGGACCAGGACTTGGGGGATGAAGGGGCTTGCTTTGGAGACTCTGCCTTGAATTGGATTTAGAAGTGACATTTGGTAAGCTGAGCACCGGGATGGCACATGCCTGTAATCCCAGCTACCCAGAAAGTTGAAGCCAGAGGATTACTAGTTTGAGGCTGGCCTCAACAACTTAGTGAGACCCTGTCACAAACTAAAAATTTAAAAGGGCATATAGCTCAGTAGTAGAGTGCTTGCCTATTATGCAGGAGGCCCTGGGTTCAATCCCCGCCTTGGGTGTGTGTGTAGGTGGGAGCTTGTGCCCTTCACAGTGGTGGGTGGTGGTTGGGGCAGTGGAGGAGATGATTCTGGCACCTGGAAAACCTCCTCCCCTCAATGGGAAAATCTGGCATATAGGTGTGCTCAAGGCCAGACCTGCACTGACGGTCTACCTGCTGTGCTTTCTATTTAGTTCATCGTGTTATGCCCAGGCCTGCCAGGTCCAGTTGTAGATAGGGAAACTGAACCTCTGGAGTGCTTAATTTGCACGCTCCCTCTGTCCACAGGGCCTGGCCTTAAGCCCAGACCTTTCCTGTTGGGGTGAAGTATCACCAAGGAAGTTCCCTCATGCACTCCCTCCTGTTTAGGTTTCCTGCAGTGGCTGTCTTTGTGGCCTTGGGAGTCATTCTTGGTTCTGTTCTTTGTTCACTTCTCATTCATTCCATCAGCTTGTGCAATTGACCCTGACTCCAAGGTTATACCCAGAATCCTCCCTTACTGGCCCCTACCCCATTTCCTCTCTTGCCCTCACAGTTCATTTCCATAGAGCAGCCACGGAGACCTTTATGAATCCAATTCATTCCTAATATTTCTTGCAGTCACCTTAGGAACATTTTTATAATCTGATCTCAGACTCTCTCCCACTTCTGTTCCTCTCTTGCCCACTTGCACCAGCCACACTGGATGCATTTGACCTTGAACATGCTACACTTCTGCCCTAAGGGCCTTCGCACTTGTTCTTTTGGTCTAGGAATGCAAGCTTATATCTGAGAGCCACTATTATACCAACCTTTTAAATTCTGTAGAATCCCCGATGCTGGGGCATGCTACCACTGAGCTATATCCCCAGCCCTTTTTACTTTTTTTTTTTTTTTGGCACTGGGGATTGAATCCAGGGTGTTTTGCCACTGAACCACACTCTCAGCCCTTTATTTAAAAAATTTTTATTTAGTTGAAAGATGTTAATTTTTATAATTTTATTATATTTATGTGGTACTAAGGATTGAACTCATTGCTTCACACATGTTAGACAAATGCTGAACTACAGCCCCTTTATATTTTAAGACAGGATCTAGCCAAGTTACCTAGACTGGCCTCAAACTTGTGATCCTCCTGCTTCAAACTCCCGAGGTGCTGGGATTATAGACATGCACCATCATGCCTGACTCTAGGTGGTTTTCATTCCCCTCTGATTTTTTTGTTTATTTGTTTAGTTATTGTGTACCTCCCTACTTCTTCCCACCACCCTGCCATTATGCCCATTAGAACATAGGCTCCCTGAAAAGCATTTTTCCCCCCTGACTTGCTTTATATCACTATATTTTCAGTAGTAGATTAGTTGCTGGTACACAGTAGGTGCATGAATTTGCCAAAGGAGAAATGAATGAGATGGGTGGGGCCTCTATTACCTTTCCTGCTGTTACCCTTTGGGATTTGGTTTTATCAAACCTAATTGGTTACTCTTCCTAAGTATTTCTAAAAAGAGCGGTTTTTTGTTGTTGTTGTTGTTGTTTTTTTTAATATTGTCACAGCCACTCCAAATTCTATGCCAGCAGTTATTCTCATCGTTGATACTGGAATGCTTTTCAAATTGACTCCGCCTCCACTTCCAGCCCTGGGCACTGACAAGGGCCAGAATGATCTTACTAACGCCTGAATCTGATTCATTGCTAGATTTCCCATTGCCCTTAGTACAAAATTCAAACTGAATCCAGTCCCTTACCACCTCTCCAGCTTATTTTTCTCAATTATGTTGTGCTCATCCAAATGTCCTTTTCACCTATCTGTTTTCTCCCTCCCACAGCGCTAAACCTAGGGCATTATTGATGCTTGTTGGTCTCACACTCTGGGCTAAGCCCTGGGGTCTCCACGGAAATGCCACCACTGATGGAATCTCTCAAGATTCCATGAAGGGATTGGGACGCAGGCATGTTGCTGTCTAGCCTATGATAGCCCGTCTGCAGCCAGCAGATGGCAATCTGGTGCAGCAAGAGAGAGAGTTTCGGGTTCTCAGTGTGCACAGCCCAACTGGTTTGGCCATCAGGTTGGCCCCAACCTCTGGTGCTCTGGATTCTTGTATTTGCTCTCCTCCTGTTACTCGGCACCAGAGCAGGTCCTCGATGCCTAGAACAGTGGGTCTAAAAACCATATTGGCTCTGGGGATGTAGCTCAGTGGTAGAGCACTTGCCTGGCATTTGCAAGGCTCTGGGTTCAGATCTTGGCACTGCAAACAATGACAACCACCAACACACTGGATTGTCGCCCTATGAGGGGTGTGGATTCCAGGGTTCCACCCAGATCGGCTGATTCTTGCATTAGACATGGCGGGGCAACATGTGTGCACTAGAGGAATTATCTGGCCTTGTGCGTCACTTTTTCCATCTGAAGATGGGATTTCTAGTCATGCCTGTAGCATGATACCCTGCACATGGTAAGAGCTGGACGAGTATTTGATAAGAGTAACTGGGGTGACCAGTGGAGAACTCCTGGAGTCCAATTCATACTTTCTAGGGAGAGAAGCTAAGGCCCAAGGTTGTCCTCCAGGTTAAAGATACTATATATAAATGTCTATAAAATTTTTTTTAGATGTCAATGGAGATTTATTTATTTATTTATATGTGGTGCTGAGAATCAAACCCAGTGTCTCACACATGCTAGGCAAGCGCTCTACCACTGAGCCGCAACCCCAGCCCCTAAAGATACTCTTGCCTTAAGGCAGAAAGTTCCTTTTGTCAGAGGTCAGCACTGAGTCCTAAACCTATGGCAGAAATTTTAGCTTCTGTTGGGAAAACAATTAAAAATGATATTCAATATTTATTGATTTGGGAAAGGTTTTATGAGTAGGGTTAAATTATTCTTGTGTGGAAAAGCCGTTTCCTTTATAATCTGCTTAGAAAGGCACAGATACCTAAGCCGTGACCATATTTGCTAAGAATGTTTCATGCTGATTTTGAAGTTGGCATTTGTTGAAATTATTTGCATCTTTTTCTTGCACCACTTTCTTAGATACACACATGGGGAAAGATTCCAGTAAAATACACAAAGTGTGAATAAAGGAGAAAAACAGAATATGTGAAGTTAGCTTTATATCCATTTCCAACAGACTGCAACAACTGGTTCCAAAAATTTTGTTTATTTTTTTAGTGGTACGGGGGATTGAACCTAGGGACACTCTACCACTGAGCTTCATCCCCAGCCCTTTTAATTTTACTTTTTTATTCTGAGATGGTCTCATTAAATTGATGAAGCTAACCTTGAACTTCCTGCTTCAGCTTCCCAAGTTGCTGGAATTACAGATGTGCACCACTGTGCCTGGCCTCCAAAGATTTTAAATATGAATGTTTCATTGTGAAAACCTAGTTGGAGGAACATGAATAATTACTTTTCCCTCTATTATCTCTACACTTACCTCTGGGAGAAGGGGTCCTATATTTTGGTGGTGATGATTCTATGTACATGACACATGAGGTGGCTCATCAGAAATGTCTCTGGAGTTCAGCACTCAGGTTCTGGGGCATTGCTGGTGACTTTGGGGTCCTGAGTGCCCACCTTAAATCCTAACTTCCCCTCCTGAATGTCTGACAGTGCCTCAATCTTACCAACTGCCACTCTGGGCTAATTTCCCCATTCTCCACTAACCCATTCTTATCTGGGCATTTTTTTTTTTTTACCCTGGTTGCTGTAGCATCCAATTATCAGTTGAATTAGCCAGAAAGCCAAGTTGGCCTAGAATGTTCTGTCCCCCAGATCTCCTTCCC